GGGTTTTGATAAGGGCGGGGGGGGGGGGGGGAGTGAGAGAGATGGATCGACTGATGCTGAGAGCTTCTTGGCATCAGTCAGTCGGTCTCTTACATGCTTCCCTCCCTCCTCTCAACATCGATCGGTCTGTGTCTCTCACTCTCTCAGAGAAGGGGGTGGGGGATGAGTCAGATGCCGAAAAACTGAACACTGTGTGCTATCATTTTATTTAATTAGAGAAATGGATGATAATAAGGAATATGGGGAGGGGGGTGGGCCCATGCCTAAAGCTGTGTTAGGGACCCCAAAATTTCTGATAGCTGCCCTGAAGGCACATACTGTATAAATGCATATTATTTTAACAACAAACATCAACACATGGTTTAAAACAGTGTTATTAAAATGTAAATGGGGGTATTAGGGTGCTTATATGCATTTAAAAGTACTTTTTTGAGTCATGTCTTATTCATGGTGAGTGACATCAAATAAATGTAGGCTTTTCATGGTGCAGATGCTCTAAAACCCCATTTACAATACGTGCGTTTGTCTGTTTATTATTTCTTGCAATGAGCCTGTTCAATGCACCTATATATACACAAAGATTCTACTTATCTTATTTTTTAAAATAATTGTGCTAAGTGCAAACAAGCGCAGTAGATGTATAGCAAATAGATGTGAACTACCCACATAGAAATGAGTAGATTGATGCAAAAAAAAGCATTTTAGGACTATAAAAAATAGGAAAACTGGGAATGGGACTCTGGAAACATACTTAAATATATATATACTTTAAAAATATACTTTTGCTGTGCATACTTGGATTTATGTGTAAAGATCAGAGTCAGGGTAAAGTGTCTACATTGCCTACAGCAGTTAATTCATAGCTGACATTTTCTAATGTTCTAACATCCACATCAGTGTGGTGGCAGTTTAATGATTCAAAAAGCAGAGGAGAACAATAGTGATCAATCCCCTGAAGTGAGCTGGATTGAGTGGGCTTATAGACACTATTCACAAGCAAAAGACTCACGCTTTCACCTACACTAGCCAGTTTGTGAGTCCCCAAGGTTTTACCTTGTATTTGATACAAGTTGTCCGTGCTTTATATGCAATTTTTCTGATTCCACACACTCATGGAGCAGCCCCACGCTTTTGGATCCCACTGGCTCACGATCCACTAACCATTCCAGGTTGCCTGCAGTGTTCCCTCTCTATTACCTGACACTAGCAACCTGAAACATTGCCCCCTGCTTGACTCCACTTTTTTTGGTTCCTTACTTAGCTCTGTTGCATGTGGGCCTCCTACTCGGTTTTAACTAGAGGATTTCACTGCAGTAATGTAGCATCGCATTGGCCATATTGCAATTTTGCAGGCTCTGACCGTAGAAGATGTACAACCCCGATGCCAAAAAAGTTGGGACGCTGTGTAATATCTACCTAAACCCAGAATGCAATGATTTACAAATCTCGTAAACCCATATGGTATTCACAATAGAAAAAAGAATACATATCAAATGTTTACACTGAAAAAAAAAATTACCATTTAAAGAAAGAAATAAGGTAATGTTGAAGTTGATGGTAGCAACACGTCTCAAAAAAGTTGGGTAAGTGGTACTAACGAGGAAGAGCTGGAAGAATATTTTGCAACTAATTAGGTTAATTGACAACAGGTCAGTAACATGATTGGGTATAAAAAGAGCATCTTGGAGAGTCAGTGTCTCTCAGAGCAGAGGTTCACCAATCTGTAAAAACCTGTGTCTAAAAATTTCTTAACAGGCCCACCTGTCAGTTTTTCTGGCAGACCTGATCGACGGCCCAATGTTAAGGTGCCCATACACCTTACGATTATCGTACGATTTTCGTATGCGATTGACTTTTCGGCCGATAATCGTATGTGTGCATTGCAGTGTCCGACCGACTGTACTGTACAATCGTACGACTTTTGACGGTCAAGCATGTTTGAAAACTTTGCTAGATCGTACGATTTTCGCAAGGTTGCTGGTGTTTCCGTCCGTCAAAAGTCGTACGATCTACACTGTGCTTGTTCAAACGAAAATACGGCATATCAATTACCGCATTTCGTCCAGGTGCTTTTCGTTAATTGCGGCTAATTTAATCTTGCGATCATCGGGGCAGGATGGGGCTGCCGTACGAAAATCGTACGACTATTTGATCATTGGACGAAAAGTTTCGTCTAATAATCGTAAGGTGTATGGGCACCTTAAGTCTATAGACAGCTGGATTTAAACGGATGGGTTCAGATATTCCTACTTAAAGCTGGCCATACACCTTACAATTATCTGCAGATTTTCTGTGGTCAGATGGAAAAAGTGCAACAGATTGGCACAGGTGGAGATTACTCCATCCACACAGGTAAGTGTAGATGGAGGAATCTGTTGCACCTTTTCCATCTGACCACAGAAAATCTGTAGATAATTGTAAGGTGTATGGCCAGCTTATGACCTCCAGCTCTAGATGTAATTGTATTGACACTCTGCAGGTACATAAGTCTTTATTTTAATTTTAAAGCATCAGTGACTGCAGCTGTGAGATATTCTTGTGGGATTTACAGACTATAATATAATGCATTTATTAAGAACTCCAGTCTTATTTATGTGAACATGTCAGTTATTTTGAACTGTAAAATTGGACTTGCACATTTCAATTTGATTTCATAATCTCTGTTTATTTGCTTTTTATTTACCAAAATGATGTAGCTTAAAGGCCATACTATCCATTCATTTTGAGACAGGCCGATATTACTATTGATGACCAAAAAAAAGCCTTTTCTACATTCCCTTATGATTTTTAGTTAGCCCCTCTGTGATAGCAATAAAGTTAAGTGAAAATGAAAAAAAAAAACTATAAAGTAATAAAATTAAAAAAATAAGTACAAAATAATAAATAATAATCAAAATAAAAAAATAATAAAATAAATTATAGAACATAAAAACTAAAACATGAGATAAAAATGTGAAAAGGTTAAAAGAATACATTTAAATTAAAAAGTGGTAAAAAGCGTAGTGTGGTAGCTGGGCAGCAGCACTCTCTAAAACACAGTGTGCATTAAAGGTTCACTTTTGCAAATAATTTGGGAAAATTGAATTACTTGCTCAAATCTGGCCCCCTCTCTCTTCCCCCCTCCCATACTTACTTTTTGGCGAACAGTCCTTCCCCTCCGCCAATAAGGGTGTATTATCTGTTCCTCATACGGCCATCCAGTGCAGCCCTGCGCCATGGATTTTGAATTTTCCTTGCAAATTGCGAGCACTCGTTGGTCAGCTTAGTGCTTAGAGGATGAGTTCTTAACATGTGTAAATTCTGAGGGACATTTTTGTTGTTTAGTAAAAAATGTAACTGTTAATAGTATATTTGTTTGATCCAAACCAATCGCAGTTACAAGTTAGCTTCCAGGCTAATTAATTCTGAATGAAAAAAATAGTGAGCTCCAACTGGAATTGCCTTGTGGTTCTGGTATTCAGTGTAGAATTTAATGTCTTTTGTTGGACATTCACATTACAGTGTAGGTTAAAGAATTAAATATATTTTTACAAAGATCCTAGCATGGGTTTAAAGAACACATTTATTGGGGTTTACAGGGGTTGGTTGCATTGAAGCCATTGTAAAGGACATCTATTGGATTATTTTAGTTTCATATTTCATGGCACTGAGTGTGTCTGCACCATTCTTTAGGAAAAAAAAAAGCTCTCTTCATTTATTGTCTCCATCAGACAACTTCTAAATATGTGATTCATTCCACTATCCACCTGCTCACTTTTTAATAAAATAATAGGGGAATAGGACTGACTCATAGAAATTGTGCTTTAAATACATTAAGTAAATGTACTTTTTTTTTTCTTCTTTTTTTCTTCTGTTTATCAAGAGTTCTTAACACTCTTTCATTTCATTGGTTCCATGAAACTCTTGAGCAACATAATGAGTTTTCTGATTATTCACACATGCAGAAGGCACATAAAAACCAGTGAAGAGCTTCTTACAATAGAGTCTGCCATCACCTGGATGCACATAGATGTTCCTTTGTGAAACAAGAGGTTTCCTTTTTAGAATGTTCTTATAAGCCCCCTCCACCCTGTTCTAATCTACTGTACCTTTAGTCCCTACGCAATTGTACACAATGGTTTCCTTGTCCTGTGATTAATTGCGTTTTTCTGTTCATGCTATCTGTTATGCTATGGTAGAGAAGTGACTAAAGGGAATGCAAGGTAG